TTCACACTTTCAGCACATTTTTTTTCTAATACCTAAATTCAAAATTAATATTTTCTAACCAATACTCATCGTTAATATTTAATTTATACAGTAAATATCTATAAATAAATGAGTCATAAAGGATATAATAAAACGCCGGTGACATTGTTATCCGACAGCATTGAATGATTATTGTAAAATTACTAAAGAAAAATCTAAATAGAAAAGGTGTTCACAAATAAAGAGTTTTCTATTCCCTTCAGATTAAGAGCTCTGGTATGTTACGTATTTTCCACCTTGTTCTACGGAATGGAAGGTTGGACGCTAAAGAAAGAACAAAATAAGAAAACGTAATTGTTCGAAATGTGGTCGGATAGAAATTTAAAAGGTGTTTATCGTATGACGACTGTGATAAGCAAATAAATTGTAAGATGGAAACACAAGACGATATAATTTGAGACATACTTCCCTACTAGATATTATTTATTCTTCTTCAAGGTCATCAAATTTTATATTTGTTAATCAAGGGAATTAGTATCTCTAATTAAGTTACATATTAAAACGCTTCCTTATAAAATAATTAAAGTAACAAAATAAAAAATTAAAATTAAATAACTTGCTTAAAAAATATATGGAATATAACAGTCACTGTATGACATTTTGAATATAAACACATTGAGAGCATAAGTAATTAAATAAATATGAGTGCAGTATTAAAACGTGTATGTGTTTTATTGATTTAGATATAAATTATCAAAGTATAACTAAAAATTAAAGTTACCATAGCTAAAATGCAAAATGCCTAAAACAATCTGGTATTTTCTAAAATAATCTAATAATAAATTTTCATTTAAATTATAATTATATTTGTTCATTATATTATCAATCACTGGTTATTAATAAAAAAAACTGAAAAATGTGCACCCATAAATAAGATATCAATATCTTTTTTATATTGTATTATTTTTAGATTAGTAATATCAATAGATTTAAACATTCCAATAACGATATGAACAATAAAATATTTAAATGTTGACACTTCCCTTTTGATATAAAAATATTAATTACAATGAAACGATCTCTATACGATAATTTAGTGTTAAAAAGAAAAAAGCATACAAATATATTTAAAAACTTAAAATTGGAATTTATTAAATGTTTTTTCGATTATCTTATCACATTTCTACGCCCGTTTTAAACATAAAAGTATATGGTGAACAGTATATACAATGATATAGTAGCGCTACAGAAATTGGAGGCGCTTGACTTCTAGGGTACGAGATGAGTTTCATCTAGCAAAGAGCTCTGTCTATAATTTTAGTACTCATCCGTTAGATCACTTGATTCACTTTTAAAACGCAACTCAAAAGTCACAGACCCAATTAGCAAAATGTCTGGCTGACGTATGACTGGACTCATCTAGTATACTACGTATACTAGATGTGATAATAGCCACTGAGCGATTTGAACACTGTCAGCTCACTGGGCTACTGAGTCGACAAACAGTACTTATATAAACTTAAATATTACTAAAAAAAAACAGGTAGGTCAAGTGTATCTTCTTCTTGTTGTACTTCTTTTAGATGTGTTAGTCCTTATTGTACGACCTGTTAGTCCGTTGCTGAAGTAGTTCTTAAGAGGTACACTGTCAGCCATCTCTCCATCTGTTTGATGATTTGCTGGTGGTCGATTGCCAGCTGGTTTTCCTGCTAGCGCCATTCTTGGTAACCTACGCTCCTCCATCCTTTTTACCAGATTGTGCCATTCTCTTCATCTTTATATTTTATCTCTTTATATTCTCTTCATATTTATATCTGATTATATATTTTTTCTATTATATGCCTTCTTGTTTTCCTTTATATTGCTCTTACTATCTTTATTTTGAAGTCACGTAGCACACTTTTGGCTTTATTAGTGTCTTCCGTAATTATATTCAATAAATTATTATGAATCTGATACATATAGTAAAAAATTTTAACTTTGCTATTTAGTCGCATGTATGGGTTATTTCAGACAATATTTCTTAACCATCTAGATATGACTGCGGCCTTATTTATCTGGACTTTTAGGTCTCTAACTGGGTCATGGCAACTGGATAAATGTGCACCGAGATATTTGAATTGGTTCACCTATTCTATGGGTTTGTTTTCCACTACGAGCTTACATCTAATTGGATCTTTTGGGGATATATTCATATTAAGCATGCTTGGTAGAATCTTCTCTCTAGTCACAGTCAAGTGTACTCGTTGATTAAACATACGAACACGTAGAACACATCACGATGAACATCTGGAGAGATGGCAGTGATAAAATGTTGTTTACCAAGAAAAGGAAAATAGATTGTAGTACGTATTAGTACGGGTCCTGATATTTATTATTGACTAATAAATAAGCCATTTGTGCCTTCGTATAAAAAAATTAAAAATCTGTTGAAGTGTTAGTTAAACAACCTCAACATGAGTTACAGTAAATAACTGGAAGAAACTTGGAACGAAGTGACAAGATTATTTTGAAAATGAAATGAAAGTGGCGAATACGACGCTAAAAATACGTCATTTCGAGCATATGACGGAACCTCAACATAATTTTAGTTGCCCTGTACAATTAATTGTCATTAATAATAATGTCATTTATTTATTATGTATTGTAAGCTTCTTTCTAAGCTCTATGCTAAGTAATATTAGTAAAAAACAGGTATGTGTCAACAATCAGGATATGTTTTTTATCAAAAATGTTTAATTCTATCACTGATAAAAAATATTTATAGTATTTTCCACACCCTAGAGGAATAATCTAGAATATATTTAATTTTCGGCTTATATATTTTTTATTGGATAAAATATTGAGTCAAATTGTCATGGGTTTGACGTCATTAACATTTCTCATTTTAATTTACTCAGGGTAACACGCCTGGTTAAGAAACCTAAGAGAGTGGTATAGTTGCAGTTCAGTAGATCTTTTCAGAGCAGCCGCCAATAAGGGACTACAAGAAGAAGAACACACCTGACCCATCGGAAAATATATTTTGTATTCTATATATTCTAGGACACTGTCTATTTACTTAATATAGGATACTTTTATGATAATTTCATAATAACTGAAACAAATTGGACTCATAAACTTCTAACATCCGAAGCTGGTCGTTATATAGTATCCAAATAAAGAATGTGCCTAGTATACGAGAGTTGACTGTATGATTTTTGACATTTGAAGTTTGACATTTGTGCTATCAAGGAGAAGTGACAAAATATATAATTATAGTATTAAGTTGTTCAATTCTAGTATCATTTTACAGTAAACAATAATAAAAAAGAGTTTGTTTTTATATTTGATTTAGTAAAAACGTAAAAAGGGGTATGATTTAACAATTACATTTGGTGATTGGACACCACCAAGAACAACTGATTTTCGGTGGTAGGAATAATTTAAATTTAGTCAAAGTATCCCAAAAAGGAAACAAACATCACTTAAATGTGAAATGACTATATTCACGTTGATTTCGCATAATACGAAATACTGAAAATAATACACCACCATATGTTTACCTTAAGTGTTGCAAAACAAAAATATAAACTTCGACTACGCCAGAGCAGTAGGGCAATGGCAGCTTGCAATGGCAGCAAGCTGCCATTCAACACAACAATCACAGAACCTTTGCTCACTAAAAACATAAAATTGATGTCCCATCCTCCATGCAATCCTGATTTAAGTTCTAATGATTTATTTACGTTTCCAAAAGTCAAGAATTAATTACGTGTTCAATGTTTTCTAACAAAAAGTAAAAAAGTTGAAGAATTTAAAAAGAAAATTTTATTTACCGATCTTCTGATTGAAACAGTTATTGATTTACAATAATTGTGAAGACGAAAATTGATTGACAGATCTATAATATTCTGCAGCTTGTATAAGAGGAAAAATATCGCAAAAAGAAATGTTTAAATAATGGAAATATATTGGCTGAAGCATTTAATCTACACGTGATATAATATAGCTTCAATTTGAACATCAATATGGAACTTTCTTGGATAATTTTAATTAAACCATGTAAGCCGCCAGATATATCAATTACTTTGGTAGCAATCCTGTCTTAAATTCTAGAAAAGCTGTTGCTGTCAAGAATTAAGCCAATTCTACTAAACCAACAAATAAAATAGAGTCTCGTTTGACTTCAAGTCCTCATACATCACCAGAAAACAAATTCATCACGTCTATAAGAAATACGGCAGCTACTGGCCGACATACTGTCCTTCTAAGCCAAAATGTATTGGTTCGATTCTCGGCACCAACAACGACATTTTTATTTCTAAAAATTATAACGAGCCTCCCACCGTACTTCGGAGGGCACGTAAAGCCGTCGGTTCCTCTGAGTTAGTGTGAATCGATACTAGTTACCTGGAAGAGTAATTGGCGCCGGAACAATCCACAACTATCTGCGCAGCAAAAATGCTATGCAATATATTATTATTACAGAAGCTACTAGAAGCTAAGAAGAACTGAAAGAAGAAAGAGTAAAAATTTTTTACACTGGTCTACTTGCTTATCACAACGTCCTCCCTCCAGGACTAGTACTACCTGGTAAAATTTCGAGATGAACTTCCACCACGCATTTGAAGCCGGTGTCTCACATAAAAGAATTCTTGGAGCAGTCTTGTATAGGCCCATTGTATTCGTCTAACCGAATCATCCCTGACTTCAGAATCAAAATCTTAAAGAGTATCACTAATTACAGCCAAAAATATGTTCAGAACCTATATAATCATACAGTCTTAACTCAAGCGAAATAATTCGATTTTCTGACCAAATTCTAGTTAAACTAATCCAATAATTGATTTTTTATGAGATTATTCTGAGATTCCTAAGTATTTTTTCTGTCATTTAACAACCATGTAGAAGCCATAAGCATTCAAAATTACGCCAAGGGTGTGAAAGAAACTAAAAATAATATGCAAGCCTATAGGGTTTATACTTCTCATATAAACTTTTTCGGTATTGAAATTATTAACTAATATCTTGGTACTGACATGTTTAAGTACTCTGCCACGAAAATCCTCAACACCTTGTTGATATTCTCCACTACACTCATTTCTACTGCATCTCGGTTGTCGTATTCCGTATGCCAAATTGATCCGAATGGTATTGATATTAAGTGGAGAATCGGTACGTCTAAAAATGAAAACACATATTAACTAATAATAAATAAATGAAATAGTTTATATACAATATCGTATGTCTCAGCAAGTTATAACCATATGGAAAACTTTTTCATGTTGAAATATTCTTATAACTGACTTCTTCTTTCAGTATTGGTAACCAGAGCCTGCTATATTCTGTTAATGGGAATGCTACACATTTTTCTTATTTAAGCAAGATGGATGAGGGCTGCTTCTTTGATTTTTCGCTTTTACCCGTCTTTTGCTTTCATGACTTCTTTGCTCATTGTCCAAAACATGTTTGCATATTTGGGATATTTCAAAGTCTCTGTTTTTTATGTATGATTCATGCTCATTTACCCTAAAATTAGTGGTCTTGAGATTTCTCCCACATAAAAATTGTTGCATTTATATGGTATTTTATAAATGGAGTTCTTTGTATTTCTATTATGAGTATTTTTGGATATTTTTCGGTGTTATTTTATTTCCTTTCTTCAATCTTGTAAAATTTCTTGTTTATAAAAGACAATGGATAATCATTTTTTTTAAACTTGTGTTTTTTCTACCTGAAATACATTTTCAATTGGGCAGATGTTTTGGGCTCTATCATATAAAAATTTTATCATTTCTTTGTTGATATTTATTAGGATTTGAGGTGATAATTTAAATAGCTGTTGGTGTGAGTTGATTTTCTGTAAATTTTGATTGCATATCCAATACCTCTTTTGTGATATTAGTGAGTTGTTGTTTCCTTTTTTCAATGTGAATTAGGTTGATTATTCTTTACGGTTGAAAAAAATTATTCAGTGCTTGTGGTCCATGAGGCCAAATAGAGAACCAATTGTCTAGTTAAAAATAGGTGTTGTCTGTGCAAAATGTAAAAATCAGAATTTTGTATCAATCCAATGGTACAGAATCACCCTCAGAATTTCATCTCAATAGCATAGCTATTTGCCTATTTGCACGTCGAGGCAAAGTAAGTTGGCTGCCATAAAGCGTCAATTGATAAACTTCTAAAGGTTAACAATATTTCTTAATTTTAATATTTTTTGAAAACGATTTCCTAATTGGAAATCTAAACGTCAAAAAAAAATGTAAAATGTAATTTTCATTACACTCGATTATGGTTTAATCCCGAATAAATGAAATATTGAACTTACACTTTTTTAATTCCAAAACACAAAAACTTCAAAAAATATTTTGAAGTTAAATAATTTTCATTTTCATGGTTTCCTGTCAGAAAATTTACCTCTAAAATTTTAATTGAATAATATGATTATTACTACGCCCTTATATTATTAAAGCATTTTATTCTATTTCTTTGTTCTAACTCTCTGCATGCAAACAAGTATCAAATTCAAACAATTACTTTTAGTAGGTCCAGATGATTTTGACCTCATTGTGAATATTGTACTCGTAAAATAAGCACAAAAATATATAGTAACTGGCATAGTAATAAGGTTAGCAAATATTAACATAAAATGGCGAAAAGGTATAGGTAAAACGTGTCTGTATAAACATTTCCAAATTATAAATACCGTCCTTCAATATTTGACGACATATTGTCTACACAAACAAAAAAAGAGGCAAAAAGTTTTTTGCGATTCTTGATCACAACCAAAATAAACTTATATGTTTTACTATAAGGTATAAACTATAATTACATAATTGAATCTGACTATTCTTAAAATATTATTTTAATACAATTTAGGATTTAGTAAGTATATGTCGGGATAGTATTATGAGGTTTTCTTTCGATGTTTAATCAATGCCAAAATTCGTGATATGCACGACCAAATACTTACCATGTCGGGATAGTATTATGAGGTTTTTTTCCCTGGTTTTTCCCTCATAATTTACTGTGGAATCACTAACAGGAAAATTTTACTGTCGTCATGGCATGTGGTTGTCGTTTTAAAGGCAAATCACATGCTATGATTTTTTCTGGCAGATATTCTCAAGTTAAAGTTGATTTCATATAATCGAATGAAATATCTTACAATAAAGTCGTCCCAGGAACGCAATTCTTTTAAAGTCGTCTACTTTAAAATGTATAATATATGCCTGCATTGTCAATATTAATGAGTTAGATAAAATTAAATTATTAGAAGAATTTTTCACCAAGTAACAAAAAACAAAATTTGTTTATATATTAATGTTTGTATTTTGATTTCCGAAGTAGAAATTGAAACGTCAATAAACTTATTTTAAATTTTAAATGTGGCTTATTCCCATTAAAATAGTAATTAAGTACTTTAAGATGCCACAAGAAAATAGCTTCAGAATAATCTTTAGCGATTTCTTCATTTCTTGTTAGATTGGCGTACAACAGCCAACTCCAATTTTTATTACATTGGCATTCTACGCCTACAATTTTGTTACAAAGTAATAGGGTCAACAGTTAGGCAACCAGCACTGTCCTTTTGAATTTAAGGAAAAATATATATTAATATATTCAATTATTTTGTTTGTAATTCTGCCTGACAAGTTTGAATCTATGGCAATTGCAGATCTGAAATAGAAATAAATTGATGGTATATATTTTTTAAATAGGTCTTCATATCTTATCAGTTTCCTATTTTCTGCGTACATTGGTGTTTTCTTTGTATATCAAAATTTGGGGATCAATTTCAATCAAGAACTTTTCAAAGAATAATAGTTTTTCTCTCAGAGATTACGCGGATTTATAACTGGAATATACTCCAAAGTTGAATCCGTGTTTACACATGCACTGTTAAAATGTTCGCTGGTTCAACTGTAATTTTTTTTTGTTTTTTATACATTCAAAGTAAAAAAAAGTATAATACTCTGTACAATACTCTCTCCCTCTAGCGGTTTCCCTGTAACTGAGTGTCGTGATTTCCTACCATACGAGTAACTATCTCTATCGGCTTCTATCCTAGGCTGCTCTCATGGACTCAGATAATATTTTAGCGCTGGCTCTCTGTACTTGATCGGTCCATCGAGTGGATGAGCGGCCTCTGCGACATTAAACGTTTCCCGAAATTATAAGAATCTCAAAATTATCATTATTTCTTCCTGTAATATGTCGGAGAGTCTAAAGTGCCTACGAGACAAATAGAGGAGACTCGACTCTGAATGTTAAGCTGCTGGAGGATGGAGTGATTTGTTCTGTGCTCTATCCGTCAGATCCGAAGTGTTTTCTTCCAGCAACACATCTAGAAGGTCTCAATTATTTTCCTATCGTCCATGTTTTGGACCCATAACTGAATACAGGAAAAATTAAAGCACGTAATAACTTGATTTTGGTGTTCTTCGACCAATCTTTCCATAGTTTATAATCGACATAGTAGATAATCGACTCATAGCATTTTTGATCATTCTTATTCTCACATGTATTTCGGTTTCATAAGAGCCTGCATTACTACTGTAGTATCCTAGATAATTGAACTCATTAACCATTTCAAACTGATCCAAGCTACATAATTTTTGATTTTTGTTTATCGATCTTAAGACCACATCTATTTCTTTCCCTTTCCACTAGCTGTATCGGACTTGACATTTCTTCTTCGGATACAGTTATTAGAGTTCTATCGTCTGCATATTTAAGGTTCGAGATGTTTTTGTCTGCGATAGAGATACTGCCATTTAATTTGTCAAATGCTTTGCTCACTCGATATTCCCCATAGAAATTAAAGATACTTGGAGAAAGAATACATCCTTGACGGACTCTCCTACTGATTACACTAGGTTGCACTTACAGTTTTCAATTCTTATTCTGGTTTCATTACAATAATTGTTTTGTGTGTACAATACAATCATTAATATGTCCTACAAAACCTACAAGAGGTCCAAGAATTTATAAAATACTGGGTGTTTCAAAAAGGTATGTCATAAATTAAATCACGAATTCCGGAGACAAAAATAAATCGATTGAATCCAACTTACCTCAGTACACAACTGTAAACAAAAAAGTTACAGTCCTTTGAAGTTACAAAATAAATTTTTTTTTGCATTACCTCTTAAAATACTTGACATTTTGTAATAAAAATGGACACGTTACTTTCTTGTTCTGAAAGCATTTTTCATACGAAAGAAACAACAAAATCTAAACGCACAGAAACATTTTGAGAGGTATGCAGCCCTAAACTCCCTCAAACTCTTGAGCACGTTCAAATCAAAAGAATTTTGTGGCATCATTAGTTTAACACATAATTTTTTAAACTTTTTTGCCTCTTTTCGAAAAACTAGTTTTTTTTTTTAAATTTCCATAGAATTACAATGAGTTTCTACGGATACGATAATTACAAACAGTTCCATCAATAATTTGTTGCTATCATTTATTGTGTGAATAAGATTAATATTAAAAAAATTTGATATTACAGTGGCCTACACATTTTTGGAAATGGCAGATATGCATTTAACGTTGGGTAAGTTGGATCAGATTAAATTACGATTTCAATAAACTATCGGGAATATCGTAGGTGAATATCAAGGAAATAGTGCAGCAGCCGCATGGCGTTATGCAGTAAAATACCCCAGTCGAAATATACCCGATAGACGATTATTTCTGACCATTGATCGTCGTTTACGGGAAACGGATACATTCCAACCGCAAGTTGCTGACAATAGTGGTCATCCAATAATGGATGCAACTGGTGACGACATTTTAGAAATCGTTAAAGAAGTTACTGGAATAAGTACACGGATAATAGCTACTCAGCTAAATATTCGTCGCGTAAGGGTTTGGAGGCGTTTGAAGGATCAGCTGCTTAAACCATAGCACTTAACAACGGTTCAAGAGTTATTTTTTGAAGATTATCCTAAAAGGATTGGATTTTACGATTGGTTGTTAATGGAAAACACTCGAAATGTTAATTTTATTAGAAATATTTTGTTTAACGACGAGGCGACCTTCAGTAGAAATGGAATAACAAACCATCATAACGAGCACATTTAGGACAACGAAAATACCCACGCCAAAAAAAACGACTCATCACCAAAGGACTTTCAAAGTTAATGTTTGGGCAGGAATTGTGGATAACAATGTAATAGGCCCAGTATTTCTTCCCAACAATTTAAATGGTGATAATTATTTGCACTTCTTGGCAAACGATCTTCCAAAGAGTATTTGGAAGAAGTAAATATTGCAATAAGGCAAAATATGTGGTTCCTACAAGATGGCGCTCCATCGCATTACAGTAATGAAGTCCGGGAATACCTTTACAGGCAATAACCTGGTGCATTGGAAGGGGTCGTGACGCACCTATTTCTTGCCACCCAGAAGCCCAGGTCTTAACCCTATGGACTTTTGCTTTTGGGGGTTTATGAAAGAAAAATTGCATTCTGTGACAATAGAGGACGAACAACAATTGAGGGTTAGAATAACTGAAGCTGCAATTTCGAAATCAATTTCGTCAGAAAAATATGATTTTTCAGCGAATTCAGTTGTCCTTATTAAAACGATACCGAATGTATATTGAAGAAAAAGGGGGTCATTTTGAACATTTATTGTAATATCTTATTTATAGAGGTTATAGACATTGTTTGTACTTGTTAATTTATTTAAGCAATTTATTTAGTTGCACGTATTTTTTTAAAGGTTAATGAAAAGGGCAAAGGGTTTTTTGAAAAAAGTGATAGGAGGCAAAAAATTTTAAAAATAATGTGTTAAACTAATGATGCCACAAAATTCATTTGATTTGAACGTACTCAAAAGTTTGGGGGGATTTAGGGACACACCTCCCTTAAAATTTTTCTGTGCGCTTAGATTTTGTTGTTTCATTTTTATGAAAAATGCTTTCAGAACAAGAAAGTAACGTGTCCATTTTTATTACAAAATGTCAAGTAGTTTAGGAGATAATGCAAAAAAACAATTTTTATTTTGTAACTTCAAACGGCTGTAACTTTTTTGTGTACACTTTTTGTACTAAGGTAAGTTGGATTCAATCAATTTATTTTTGTCCCCGGAATGCAAGATTTAATTTATGACATATCTTTTTGAAACACCCTGTATTAACTACTATTAAAATGTACTATTATAGTTTATGGTGTGAACTGTTTCTGGCTTTCTTTTAATCCTTCATCCAGGCATTCAATTGCAAACAAATATGAAATAAGAAAGCAATAAAGAAATTTTAATAGAATAAAAAACGTTGCAAAACGTCGCTTATAATGAGAAATATACTTACTTCTTTGTAAAAATGGTATGTGATCATCTTCTATACCTCCCGGCTGACGTCTTTTTATAAAACGTTTTTGAGAACCTTCTAGTAAATTCAAATTTCCTAAACGAGTCTCAATGTCGGCAAGTCGTAAGTACCTGTAATTTTTTATTTGTAATTAATAAATATTCAACATTAAGACGACAAATAGGTAAAAATTGAAAAAAAACAAAAAAAAAGGGTTTTAATATAATTATTATCTAGAAAAATATTGAATTCAGTAAATTCTTTACGACAAAACTCAACGATTAATAGTTACATATGTAATTCAACATCTTGTTCATCTGCATTATCAAGGTTGTTTTGTAAGCAATACTATTTTTCCTTCTTATTTCTTATCTTTTTAGTTGAGAATAAGGAGGATAGTAGTTATCCAAAATAGGTCTGACACATTTTCATATTTGTAAGGTTTTTCAAAAGTAGAATTTATAAGAAGCACAAGCTATAGCAGATGTGTATAAAAAGATGTATCACATCGTCAAACATGGACCAAAAAAATTTAAATGATTCTAATCAGATTAAATCTATCATAGTAGATAATAAAAAAAATTTAGTACAGAAAAATGATGTATACATTGTAAACGCCACATAGAAAGATCCATCCTCGCGCATGTGGCATGTGCCGACTGTATCCGAAAAGGTGGACAGGGGCGTGATTATGCTTTTCATATAATTACCGGCATAGGTAAGGAATAGTTACCGCTGCGCTACTGACAGCGTGGATAAATATGTAAACAAGGCGCTCGGTTCGAATCGGTATGAAAATAAGCATTTGCGCTGCATCTTCGTAACTGGTGCCTACAATAGCCACTGCCAGATATACTTTGATTCTAGTTAGACGAAAAAGTAGAAGAACCACAGCGAAATCTATAATAGCTATTTTGACCAAAATACCAAACACTGTTCAAAAAAGAAGGAAAGGCAGTGCAGTTGGGCCAGATAATATTGTTGGAGAAATGGAGAATAATAAAAAGATTATCTGAGTACCTGTGTACAAAAAAAAGGAATGTTTGACAATGTACAAATTATAGACTGATTTCAATTGTATTAATTTAGTAAAACACTGTCCCTGTTGTGAGGGCAAGGTTATGCCACTACAGATTTGCGGTTTTCTTTTGTACAACATTTAAAGTGGTGTTGTTCTACTACATGACATGTTTTTTCTATTCGGTTTTCGTGTGAAAACTATCATCATCATCCAGCCTTTATTTATCACGTCCAGTGCTCCCTTAAACTTCTTCATTCTTTACAATTTTGTGCTCTTTGTTGCCAATTTTTGGTGATACGCCTGATGTCGTCAGCCCAACATGTAGGTGGTCTTCCTCTACTACGTTTGTCTGCTCTTGGCCTCCAATTTGTAATTTTGCTCGTCCATCGTGAGTCGTGCGTTCTCGCTACATGGCCTGCCTAGTTTCATTTCAGTTCCGCATAGACTTCCATTCGTATCCGTGCCACTCTCAATTCCGAAGCTGTAGTCTTGGTTAGAGTCATAGTTTCCGCCCCATAGGTCATGACCGGTAATACGCATTGGTCAAATACTTTTCTTTTGAGGCTAAATGGTATGTTGGCCCTAAGTGTGTCTCGCAGTTTTCCAAAGGCTGCACACGCTAAAGTAATTCGTCTTTGGAATTCGCATGTCTGGTTATCCCTGCTGATTCTTATTTCATGACCCAAATACGGATATTTCTCCACCAGTTCTACCACTTTATCTTGAATAGTTAAATCATTAATACAGAACATCACTTTCATTTAACAAACAATCACATTACACCTATTTTCTACTCTATTGGATAAAATCTGCCTCCTCAAGAAACTTCCCCGTTGATTGTCAAACAATTACAATAATAAAAACTGAAGATCTCCATTCAGCAATACAAGATAGTTTGAACTATGTTCTCCCAACCATTAATTAATAGTGTACCGGCATGTATACAAGTAATGTTTTGTTTATTTACTAAGTTATTACAATTCAATAGACTATTTTTTCCCAATTTGTGGGTCTTACTTTGTCTGCTTAAACAGTTTATCCATATTAAAAAAAAAACCTAATATAGGTTTTATTATTTCGTCTAGATAGTTATATTAAACTGATTGTGAGTAAGTCTTATTCATTATTTCTTTTACCTATTTGAAATGGACTTACACAAGCAACACATTCATGATTAGTCAAATAGTTATTGGGGACCAAAGTCCAATTCATTTAACATATCTGTGGCTTCTCTAAAGTTATCTGTGATAAGGACAATATCATCTGCAAAACGGAGATGGTTAAGCTTTTCGCCGTCTATTGTTACTCCTCGGTGGTCCTAATTGACCATCTTAAAGGCATACTATAATACCGTTATGAATAATTTCGGTGACAATGTATCTCCTTGCCTTATCTCACGTTTTATTTTTATTGGTCGGATTTTATTGTGTATCTTAACAGTCATAGTGGAATTTTTGTAAATATTGTAAATAAGTTCACTATACCTATGGTCGATTCTGCTGCCATTCATTGCTTCTATAAGGCTTTCTATTTTCATCGTGTTGAAAGCTTTATGAAAATCTATGAAAGTAAGGATAAGAGATTTGTTATATTCTATAAATTTTTCAATGAGCGTCTTTACTGTATGGAGATGATCATTGGTACCATAATTTGATCTGAATCCTGCATGCTCTCTCGGTTGGTAGAAATCTAATTTTCTCTCCAAACTTGATGTCACTAACCTAGTGAAGAACTTGTAAATGTGGTTAAACAGGCTAATAGGTCTATAATTTTCTAGGTTCGTTCTATCTCGTTTTTTATGCAATAGGATGGTTATACTATTGTTCTATTCTTTGGGCACCTCTCTTTGCTGCAAATATAGATTAAACAGTTTCCTTAATTTATTGAATAGCATACCTATCTCCTCCGTTTACGATAGCTTCAATTACAATTCCATCCTCTCCTGGGGCTTTGTTATTTTTCATCCTTCTTAATTCTTGTAGAATCTCATCTACATTTATCTCTGGCATTAGTTCGGAACCTTGATTCATGATATTCTTTGAAATGGCTGTTTGTATTCCTGTTTGATCTGCACGTCTACTTCCATATAATTCCTCGTAAAACTCTTCGACGACCTATATTAACTCGTCTCTACGTGATATTATTTCATTTTGCTTGTTTCTTAATTTACGAATTTCGCATTTCCCATTCGTTAGCTTTCTACATAGAACTTTTAGGCTGTTATTTTCCTCTATAGTACGTTTAATATTATCGGTTTTAAATTTACTTAAATCTCTCCTGATTGCCTTCGAAACAGTTTTATTCATTTCTCCTTCTCATTCAGCAACGTCTTAGTACATAGACTTATTTTACTATCTGATTTTCTTTTAGGACAGTGCACTCGGTGATTTTCTTGTAAGGCGTTTATAATGCAATTATCTAGGTCGTTAAGATCGTTCTCGGAGGTTTCATGTAGTAGTAGCTTATTATTGATATGTGCCTGATATTGGTTGATATCTAATAGGAGTGTCCAGATACCATAAGATTTATTTTTAATCATTATGTTCCTTTCTCTTTTTATGTTGATTTGGACTTTGGCTCGTATCATTAGGTGGTCAGTGTTTAAGATGAAGCTGCTGAGTACTGTTACATCTTTAATTGTTTTTTGTCATTTATGATGTAGTCGATTTAGTTTCTTTTTCTACGGTTTGAACTTTCCCAGGTCCACCTTCTGTGCATCTTTTTGTAAACAGGGATGTTCATTTCTTCCTGGGGAACAGAATTTTCTCAAGGATGTTTGTAACTCTGCTTCTTTACACCTATTTTTCCGTTGAAATCGCCACATAAAATTGTGAATTAAGTTATTAAGCGCAGTAGATATATCGTCATGAAACATTTCGATTTCTTCGTCTGTATGGTTTGTTGTTGGAGCGTACACTAGGATAATTTTGAGTTGATATCTACTGTTCAGCTTCAGAATAAGATATTCCTCTCTAGATTATATACTTTGGACGTTTATTATCTTGTTCACGTGGTTTTTATGGACAAAGAAAAACTATACGTCGCGTGAAAACTATATGTTTGTGAATATTATGGTCCGTTGACAAATAAAAAACCACACCAAACAGTGCCTTTTCGGGATGCATTGGACGGTCTTGGATTTCATCTGGTTTGGTATCGTCCGAAAATTCTGTTTGTTGACGTACCAATTTGTATAAAAATGAGCCTGATCTCTGAAGATGATTTTTCGATAAGAATTAGGATCAGATTCCAACAACTCCAGAGTCCATTCGCAAACGCACATCATTGTATACGGTCTTTTATCTTCAGCTTCTGAAGTAAATTCTGAGTCAATTGAATTTTGTACGAGTAGCAACCCCAAGTCACGATGCAAAATTCGTCAAGTATGGTCTATAAAAGGCCAAGTCCTTGTGGGGGACATGAAATCGACTGCCTCTGATTCTTCTGTACCCTCTCACGGATAGCAGCGATGTTTTCAGCAGATCTTGCGTTTAATCGACCTACGCGTATTGGTTGATTGTTTACTGAACCAATGGTTCAAATTTATCCACCACACTACAAATAATCTGATTCTGATTATCTGATTCTCCGGTATATTCTCACGGATAACGGCAATGTTTTCGGCAGATCTTGCGTTTCATCGACATACGAGTATTGGTTAACTGTTTACTGAACCACCATTGGATTCAAATTTATCCACCACATTGTAAAGAATCCTCAATAGACAGTGCACGTGTGCTGCCCCCTCTTAATTATTTTCTTATAATACTGAATAAGTAGGCACATAGCATAATCGTCCAAAATTGCGAACGAGCGCCATCTTATAAAATTATTTTAAATCATATGATTCAAGATCATATGACAAGTAATACGTCATTCAAAAGCCCATGTGTCATTTAATACGTTCATTCTAGATCAATGTTTAACGCCAGCATTATAGAAAAGTATGAATTACCACTAATAATTTAGTAGTCTTCAGTTAATATGGGTAACAGCCGAACAGGTTAAATGAGATATTATTATACAATTCCATTTAAGATAATTTTACAATTGGCATCCATTCACATTTTGGATGTTGTGTCACCAAATATAAAAAAAATGTACAGGTAGGTGTCTTAGTTTATTACATCATCATTCTGGATTAACAACCCTGCGTGGGTCCCAGCCTCCTCAAGAATTTCTCTCTAGTCGTCCCTATCCATCATTTTTCTCCGCCAAGCACGTATTCCACTATTTCTAATGTCTTCCTTAGTTTATTACTTAAGCGTTTATTAATTAAAGTAATATGGTTCAGAAAATAATTAGCTGAGTACTTTAGACGAGTCATGCTTGGAATATCACTGAGAGACAAACTTAGAAACAATGAGATAAGACTTATAACGAAGATTAGGGATATTGTGGAAGAAATTACAAAAATGAAATGGCGCTGGGCAGGTCACGTAGCCCGATATAATGACAACATGTGAACACGGAGAATTCTAGAATGGAGACCAAGGACGATAACAAGAAGCATGGAAAGACCTCAAAAAAGATGAGTAGGTGACATAAGAGCAGTGTCAGGCAAACAGTGGATTAGATTGGTGCTAGGTAGAGAAAGATGGAAGCAATTGGGAGACCTACATTCAGGAATGGATGGAAAATGGTTGACAAAGAGAGAGACTTTAAACGCGCACTGTATATTGTTAACAGAAAATAGCAATAACTATTGTAATTTATCATCGTGAAAACGGCACGACGGAATAAAATTTACCACTAGTACAAAAATGGCAAAACCCCATCTATAATTAAAACTATGAATAACTGAACTAAAAAAAAGAAAAGATAACTAAAAGAATAGTTTAATTGCTTAATATAAAAAAGCTTGTAAAATTATTCTTACCAATTTTCCGTTTCGCGTGATGTACTTAAAAATCTTGTAGCTTTATGGCCAATCAAATCCAACAAAATCAACATATCTATCTTCTGATTTTCATTGATCCTTTCACCAGTTAGACCACTTGTTTCCTTTTTGTTTTGATACATTTGTGCTAAATGCCTAGCACCGTATATAGAATCTTTGGGTCCCCATTCAACGAAAGCTTCTTCTCCATCGAAGAATATAAGTTTTAAACTTAAAGAGTTTGATTGTATTAATTTTAATTCTTTGTCCAATACTTTGATCAAATTTAACATCATAGCGCAAGGGACTGCTGAGTCGATAGCCCCTAAAACAAATTTTAACTATAATCCCTATTAAAATTTTCAAGCAGTGCTACTTAGTGGATTACAAAAATCTTAATAATTCAAAATTACGAAAATAATGGCATCTTAAAGCAATTATGTACTATTTTTATTGGGAATAAACTGCAATTTAAGTTTAAAATAAGTTTATTGATGTTTCAATTTCCACTCCAGAATTCGTTCTCAAAATACAAAACATTAATAAATAATAAAATAAATGTATTTTAAACTTAAGTTGTGGCGTATTCCAAATTAAAATAGTAATTGTTCATAACGCAGTTCATAAAACTCACATTTTTACATACATTTTAACTTAGGAGAATAAATTGATAATAGGTTGCCAGTGAAAAAGTGACCGCAAATATTTTTAATTCAATTAATAGTAATTATTTTTTTACTAAGAAGAAGAATCGACGCATGCTTTAAAACCTCACAACTGACACTTCAAAGCAGTAGCGTTGAGCGCTAGCTGTCTTTTATTTTATCTTTGATATCTCGCACTTTTTACCAGCTGGCAATCTTAATTTTCGATCATTCTTTCTCAGACAAACATATCATCATATAAAGAAGAAAATGTATGCAAAAATATGAGTTTTATTAACAACATTATGAACGTAGTGATTCTACAGTGCGATCTTGTGCTATAGTATTAAAAGGAAATAGAGACCGATGCAAAATACAAAAATTTATTTAACTCATTCAGGATAAAGTATTTTATGTAAACTATATTTTTCTATTATTTGACAGATATCTCGGGAAAAATGCGATCATGAATGAAATAAAAAATGAATATGCTAAAAAGCTTCTAACACCGCACTGATGAATTATGTAAACATCTAAAATCGTTGGAAATGTGTTACTATCGCCGCAAACTTATGGTATCTTGGACTTATCACATTAATAAAATATATTTGGAACGAATTGGAAAACAATACGCGCTATTGACATCAGTATAATTAAAACAAGCAGCGTACTATGGACAGGTAAAGCGAAATGATAAATATATCTGCTACGATTAACGCTGCAATGTAAAATCTAAGACCAAATTGTACCTACAATGCCAAATATTTAAAAATATATATATATATATATATATATATATATATATATATATATATATATATATATATATAATAAAGAAACTGGAGATACACGTGGAATAGATTCTCTTCAAAAAGTAGTTAAATCAATGAGTTTTCGTTGGAGGAAAAAAAAACAAACAAAAACTTTTAATGGAAGAGCGTGATATTCATTTAAAAATGTCTTCTTTACATTCAACCAAAAAGTATAGAAATGAAAAAAGACCGATGGTATATATAGATGAAACTTATATTCGTGGTAATCGCACTGTGGATTATCAACAGTTTAATTAAAGACAAAGTTAATAGTTGTTCAAGTATGCTAAACTTAATTTTAAGTCCAATACGACAACAGACTATCATAATGAGATGAAATTATAAAAAATGTTGCTAAAGACTTTAATTTCTAACGTTCCTCCGAAATCTGTGCTAGTAATTGACAAAATAATGTTCAAAGAGGGGGAAAAGTTGATTTTGCATAAAACACTTTTCTATATGTGAACACAAAAAAAATAACTCTTCCTCGCACTGTAATTAATGTTTTTATTGTGTACTGTCCCTGTGGATTAGTGGTTTTTCATGTTTTAAGAATTTTTTTGTTATTTGTTTTTAAAAAGTACCAAAAAAATTAAGTGTATATGCACTCACATTAAAAATATAAAACCGGTACATTGCCTCTCTTTAGTTTTCCTTAATTTCCTCTCTCCTTACAACTGTGCACAGTAATTTGGTTCCTCCAAGAGCACCGCCCAGGCAAAATCAAGTTATTAGAGTGTCACTTTAAACCTATCGCCTTGCACCGTTATATAAATATGCTTGTAATACATTTAAATTATAATCCACAAGGAAACTAAATTCCTGTAGCTGGCTGTATACCATGTATCACAAAAAATTTATTTAAAAATTCCTGTATAAAAGGTATAATACAATATTAATAGTATTCTTTTTATACAATATCTGGGACACGTAATGAGGGGACATCGATATGAACTTCTAAGGCTGATAATAAGGAGAAAGAAAAGAGGAGGAAGGAATATAGGAAGAAGGAGAGTGTCATGGTTGATGAATTTAAGGGACTGGTTTAAATGCAATTCGATGCAGCTGGCAAAAATTTAAAAGAGTAGACTATTTCAAATATTTAAGATCAATAGTTACAAAAGGATGATGAACAATGATGAGATAACAGCGAAAATTTCACTTGGAAACAAATGCTTCTACAGCCTACAGATTATTATAAAGTCAAAATAAGTATCTACTAGCTCAAAAGCTAAAGTATACACAACAGTTATGAGACCCGTAGTAACGTATGAACAACTGTAAAAAGAAGAACAACTTCTTAGATGGGAAAGAAAATTTTTAAGGAAAATATATGGACCAATACAAGAAAATGGGGAATGGCGTATAACAATGAACCACGAAATAAATATAATGTTTAATAGACCGACTATCACAAAAGAAATAAATCTTTGTGTGGGTTTTCCTCACATGCATTTTTAAATTCACTTATTTCTGTCCAAAAATGTATTGTATCGGAGGTATTTTTCCATGATATTATTGTTATATTTTGCCATTGATTTTGAATAGTGTCGATTAATTATTCAGAATAATTAAAATTCTTTAAAAGTGGAACTAAATCTGGTTTGATTACTACTAAAAATAATGACACTTGCTTTAGAATATTTACATTATCTGGTAATCTTTGAACGATGTCTTTAATTACCAAAATTTAAAAATGTATGCATCTCTATTTATTTATGTCTTTCAATTGTCGCTCTTCTGTAAAACCTGATTTTATCATTGAATTTATTTTAGTTTTAAATAAATAACCTAAATAGAAATTTTGTTACATAATAAATAAAAAGCCAAGCCGTGTTACATAATAAAAAAGTCCAAATGTTACTGAGATAATGATAATGGAACTAATGGAACACTCTGTATGAGAGATAATACAACCCTTGTTGGAATAAAATAGTGGTAACAATTGGATGAAGTAAACCAAATGTAACCTTTTAAATGGTCAATTATAATTAATGAAGATGAAGTGTAGCGAATAAGAATGCTTATGTTAAAATAAGTTGTCAAACAACAGAGAATGTGGTCAATATTAAATAAAATATAAAGATTACTTGAAACACAACAAGAGAATAGGCCTTGCTCAAGAGAATGAGAGAGGCACATTTGCTTGGACCAATTTGGACAATTTGGACCAATACAAGAGAATGGGAAATGGCGTATAACAATGAACCACGAAATAAATATAATGTTTAATAGACCGACTATCACAAAAGAAATACGAAGTGAACGACAGTTGGTTGAAACACGTAGAAAGGATGGATAATAAGAAAAATACAAAAATAGTATATAGAATAGAATTAAACGGGAAGAGATAGAGAGGTAGACCTAGAAAGAGATGGATTGATGGTCTTAACCAGGATTTAAAAGAACTAGGAATACGAGAACGGACAAAACAATCAAAGGAAAGAAAAACATGGTCAACTATATTCAAGGAAACAAAATAAACTTGACAGTATAATGATCTTCTCAAAGAAGACAAACTAGGAAGTAACGATTTTAGATATTGTTACGTAAAAATTAGTCATATTAAAAAAAACCTGTAAACATGTTGTTTATTTACTCATATGTTGTAGATTCGACGAGACCCTTCGATCAGCTGGCAGAAATATACCTGAAACGGTCGTTCGAAGTTTCCAGAAACCGGTCGAACGATGACCCAGCCAATTTACTTTCTGGTATAATCAGAGGTATTCCCCAGACCCTTCTAGATAACGGTGTTTGGATATAAATAACAGAATTTTATTGTGAACAGGCAGTCAGAAGAAAATCGCGGCCGGGCATTTAAATGTTACGATCGTAATATATAAATTATTGTAAGACAAATTAATATAAATAAACTTTAAATAAATTAAATTTGTAAGTGTTATAAATATTGAACCTTTAGTAGAATTAAATTAGAACAATAAATTAGAATTAATAAAAACTTAACAATATAAAAATTTGGACTTTTTGAGGAGTTATGAGTGTGGCTGACCTTCACACCATGTAAAAGTTTATAGCTTAAAAATCCCAACAGGCCACCATGGCTCTCCATGGCCTGTCAGTGGTTACAGATGATGAATTCTAATTTGGCTGCACTGTAATGATGAAGACCAATAAATAAAAAATAAGTATTTTTGCTTGCCTTTTATTTATTTTTACATACCTTTTCCGTATATTCATTACATAAAAGCTAATGCCAATATTATGATCATAGATGAGTTAATACCTTAATGGTAACCAGAGGCCTCATAGAAAAATGTGGAGTTTAAAATCAGACATGTTATATTAGATTCATAAATATGATGATAAAGCCAACAATACCATACGTATGGTTACCGAAGGATCCAGGTTCGGACAGTATCCAATACTTCTAGGGGATCCAGAAGGGAAATGACCTGTACAAAAAATTATGTATGATACTGTAGGCCAACTTCGAACTGGGGTATATACCAAAAGCATGGAGGTTAATAAGAGTTGCTTTTATAGCCACACCTGGTAAAAGCGGACAGGAAAAATAGGATAGCATTCGTTACTGAAGACTCTTGGTAACTTTGCTCGATAGGCATATTGGGCATGAAGTATTGGTTGAAACTGCGATACATCATGTACAGAATGCGTATCGAACAGAAGTCTCAAAACAAAAACGGCATTGCACCATCTCGTACAAAGGGGGAATAGGCTCTGGACAACCTAGATGTGATGTTAAGTGCATTTCTCGATATAGAGGAAGCATTCAACACCTTCTACGAAGCAATCAGGGCGATTTGTCTAAAAGGAATAGGCAAAATAAGCTGCAGACTATGTATTGAGGAGCCGTGTGATATACTTTACTGGGTGATCAGCTCATG